CCACTCTTGGGGGGCGGGGCAGAACAAGACCTGCAAGATGGTAAGAGGCTCCCACCAGCCTCCACGCCAAACAGCTTTTACCAGCTGTCCCAGCTTGTATGAGGGAAATGAGCCGTTACTGGTCAAGCCCTTTTAGGAGCAGGCTCCCCACCAAGGGCTGCTCCAAGCTGGAAATACAGGGGATGGTGGAGTTGGGGCTGACCAAATCCCCAGCGGTGGAGCCCTCAGTGGCGTACCACCTCCACCCCAACCGCAGGTCAGTTTCAGCCTCTACTAATATTTCTCTCCCAGCTGAATCGGACCGCCTCACGGCATGGATTTATCAGGGAATGTACACATATGCTGGACAGTCTGTGTGTTATCTTAATGCTGCCACACTGTTGTCAGCATATCAAGCAGAGATCCTGGATGAGATGGGCGCCAGCTGGACTCGGGGTCACCTAACCCCTCACTGTGGGATGAAATTTGTGTTGTTAACAATCTCATCCTACGCTCATCCAGAGGAGCTGTCCAGGGCAGCGGTCGCGTCATGGGACTTGCTGTTGCAGGAGAGAGAGCCCTGTGGCTGAACCTGTCAGGCCTGGGGGACTCCCAGAAAGCAGAGGTGATGGACGCAGCCTACGACCCGACCAAAGGTCTCTTTGGCCCAGCCTTGGAGAAGACGAGGGAGATGAGCACCCTTAGAAAACAAGAGGGTGAGGCTTTTAACTTCTGCTTGCCACTCAAATCGAACCCCCACCTGGCTCAGGGTCCAAGACCCGGGTTTGCAGCAGCTCTGGCGGCAGCAAGGGGGCGGCAGGGTGGTTCTAGCACACCCAGACAAGCAGCTGGTCACCCAAACCAGCAAAATAAAGGGGAAAACCCAAGGCCTTGGGGCAAGCACTCCTTCGCAGCAGCAGCTGCCAGGAAACGTCCATCCCACCCCAGAGAGGGCAAATAAAAAGCGGACGACCTAACAACCCCACCTTTTCCACCTCCAGTAAAAAGGAGAAAATTGGCAGAAGAGGAAACCTGCCTGTGTTCACACACTCCTGCAGTTCCCGGTTCAACAGAAGTGCAGTTTGTTCAGCCCTCTCATGTTCAGAGAGAGGAGACTGTGAGGCAGAAAACACAGTGTCACCAAGCACTGAATGTGCATCATGCACCCAAAAGCACTCGCTCAATGTCACCTAACACTCACCAGTGCCTCAAGAGGCCTCATTTTGTTCAGGGGAAAACAATAAAAATAAATGCATTTCTGCAGCCAAGCACATTGCTAAGGGCAGAATGCACCCCACCAACAAAACAAAACAAAACATGAAACTGTATAAGCTCTTGCCCAATAGAGGGCGCTCCTGCTCTATCAATGAAAAGAGCAGAGACCTGTTATGGCACGAGCGTGACATCACCGCTCTCGGAGCAAGTGGAGTGCATGCGCAGTTTCACCATGGGTTATGACCACAATTTCCCGGGGGTACAAACTTCAGTTCAACATGAAGTCACCCAGATTCAACGGAGTTGTTTTCTCTGTAGCCAGCGGAGATTCAGCTCACGTTTTGGAGGAAGAGATCGCCTCCCTTTTAAACAAGAGAGCGATCAGAGTAATACCGAACAAGGAACCGCAACAAGGCTTCTATTCTAGCTATTTTCTGATTCCAAAAAAGGATGGTACTTCCCTCCGCCCATTTTAGATCTGCGTGTACTAAACAGACACTTATGCAGATATACGTTCAGAATAACAAAGTCCATGCTCAATAATTCAGGTATACAATCCAACATTTTTCAGTCAGGTCATCTGGACAGTTTCTTTTTTTGTGCTGAAACGTTTCGCCTTCTATCCGGAAGGCTTCCCCAGTCAAGGAAACACACAACACAAAACTAATTCTTCCCCTAACAGCTTACTCCAAAGTGGAACAAACCAGTTTTGTTGGTGCTAAGGTGGTTTCTTTGGTACGCCCCCTCCTCCATTGCCGGCCCTCTTCCTTATTGACAGTCAAGTCAAACTGGATGAAAACAACAAAGTCCATGCTCAATAATCCAGGTATACAATCCCAACATTTTTCAGTCAGGTCATCTGGACAGTTTCTTTTTTTGTGCTGAAACGTTTCGCCTTCTATCCGGAAGGCTTCACCAGTCAAGGAAACACACAACACAAAACTGATTCTTCCCCTAACAGCTTACTCCAAAGTGGAACAAACCAGTTTTGTTGGTCTCTTTATTGAGCATGGACTTTTGTTGTTTTCAACCAGTTTGACACGACTGTCAACAAGGTTTTGTGTTGTGTGTTTCCTTGACTGATGAAGCCTTCCAGATAGAAGGCGAAACGTTTCAGCACAAAAAAAGAAACTGTCCAGATGACCTGACTGAAAAATGTTGGATACGTTCAGAATGTTAACACACAAAACACTGTCGATCCATCCGTCCAGCAGATTGCTTTCTAACAATAGATCTGGCGGACGCTTATTGTCATATTGCAATTTATCCACCACACAGAAAAGTTCTCAGGTTTGCCTTTCAGGACAAAACCTATGAATTTCAAATGATCCCATTTTGACTTTTGTTAGCTCCGCGGGTGTTCAGCAGGTGCGTGAAAGCACCCCCCCCCCCCCCCCCCCAGGGGCACATAGCATCAGAATCCTCTCATATATAGACAATTATCTGATATGTTCCCGCACGCAGGCACAAGCAGTCAGCGACTCCCAGGCAGTAATAAAACATTTAAAAGACCTGGGATTCAGAATAAACTGGACAAAGAGCTGCTTAGTGCTCAAACAAAATACAGAATATTTGGGTCTCAAAATACTCTTGTCATGTGACGCTGTCAGAGAAGAGGATCACATCCTTCTCCCAATGCATAGCAAGCTTCCAGCAGGGGAGAGTTGTCTCATTCAGACTTTGTCTGCGCCTGCTCGGGTTAATGGCCTCAGTAATTACGGTGGTAAAACTGGGTCTTCTAATGATGAGGGACTTTCAAAGATGGGTCGCATCACTGAGTTTATGCCTTCGCCGCCATTTACATTGCAGAGTGAAAGTATCTGCAACATGTATGATGGCTCTGCATCCATGGAGGGACCCAGTGGTTTTCAGCACTGGGGTTCAGCTAGGAGCAGTAACATCCAGGGTCACCATCACAACAGATGCAACCCTGAGAGGATGGGGGGCCACGATGATCAGCAGGACAATGAACGGTGTGTGGTCACAGACAATGTCACGCCTTCACATAAATGTGCTGGAACTGCAGGCAGTTTTTCTAGCTTTAAAGCATTTTCTGCCCCATTTAAAGGACTGTCATGTCTTAGTGAACACAGACAATTCAACGGTGGTTGCTTACATCAACCGTCAGGGCGGGACACGATCATAGCAACTGCACAGACTGGTCCGAGAGTTAATCTTATGGAACAGCACCAGACTACTCTCAGTCCGGGCAACTCATGTGGCAGGGATCCTGAACAGAGGAGCAGATCTGTTGTCCAGGGGCAACCCTCGGTATGGAGAGTGGCAGTTCCACCCTCAGGTGGTGGAGCAGATCTGGCAGAGATACGGCAGGGCTGCCGTAGATCTCTTCGCCTCATGGGAAAACACCCACTGCCTGCTGTTTTTCTCCCTGTCAGACACAGTTGCTCCACTAGGGGTGGATGCTCTTGCTCGCACGTGGCCAAACGTGCTGCTGTATGCATTCTCACCTCTCAGCCTGATTTCTCCCACATTGAGCAGAGTGAGAGAACAGGGCTGGTCTTTAATTTTGGTGGCCCCATGGTGGCCATCCAAGCCCTGGGTGGCATAAATTATTCAAATGCTGTCAGGGGAACCTTGGCCTCTTCCTGTTCTCAGGGAGGACCTTCTGTCCCAAGCCAGGAGAGAAATTTATCACCCCTACCCAGCCTGCATGGCTCTCTGGGCCTGGCCCGTGAAAGGTGGAATCTCAATCTTCCTCAGGGGTCATTAATACAATTCAGAACACGAGGACATTTTGACTAGTCAAAATGTAATTCAAGATATCTTGAATTGTTATTCTGACTAGTCAGAATGCAAATACAGATATCTTAAATTAGCATTCTGACTAGTCAAAATGTAATTGTTCCTAGTCAAAATTCTATTTTAGATATCTAGAATGTACAGTATGTACAGATAGTCAGACTACTCGATTTTATGTTAAAAGGGCTTGCCATATTAGCTTTCCATCCTCCTCCATTATCCTCTGAAATGGAGCGAGACCATAACTCCTTGTGTCCTGTGTGGTCACTGAAATCATATGTTGACAGGACAGCTGACTTCAGGAAGTCAGACCAACTGTTTGTTTCTTGGGCCTCAACTCATAAAGGGAAACCAGTGTCACGCCAGAGGCTGGCACATTGAATTGTGGAGACAATTAGTCTCTGTTACAGCTGTAGGGGTACAGAGCCCCCGTCTGGGATGAGAGCCCATTCTACCAGGATCATGGCCACATCATGAGCCCTGTTTCGAGGAGTATCAGTACAAGATATTTGTGCAGCAGCTAGCTGGGCCACACCGCATACATTTGTATGTTTTTACAGGCTGAATGTGGCTCAGCCATCCCTAGCTCTTGCAATACTGGACGCCGATACTTCGCAGCCTTCTTAGTCCGGGTTCAGGATAGTTGTTGGCTTCGGAGCTTTTTTGCAATACGGGAGTGGGCCATATCTCCCATAGTGAAACACCAAACGAAGTTAGAAAAAGAACGTTAGGTTACTTAACGTAACCCCGGTTCTTTGATAACAGAGTGAGGTGTTTCACCAACACTTCTCTCCTTGCATGGTCACGGAAAGAAACCATCCTAGAATGAGTAGGAGGTGGTCGGTTGACTGTGGTGCCATGGTGGGGGCGGAGCCCTGAGCACAGCTCAACAGGTCTGTCTTTGACAGACGTAATGTCATTGGAGCTTCTGTAGATGGTCACGCTGGAGCATTTCCCATAGTGAAACACCTCACTCTGTTAGGTTACTTACCGTTACGTTAAGTAACCTAACGTTTCCACGTGTCTGTACCCTCCCCCCTCTCCAGCCGGGCTGCCTCCTGCTCATATTAGCACCAAACGTATTAAATCAGTAGAAGGCGAAGCAAAGACAGAAACTGGAGAGGACGAAAAAAGCACAGAGGAGAATGTTTGGCCTGAACCTCCGAAGCGTTTCTCTCCGACTGTTCGTGCTGCTTCGGTGCTTTCCGATGATGTGACTTGTCCCGACAGATGTAAACGCCTCAACGCCAACCAGGATGTTGATCCACTCATAGTCAGCAAACTGAAGTGAAAATGATTCACACTTATAAGATTTATTTTTACTCAATTGTGATCTCTTTAATAATGAAATTGTTTTAATTTAAAGGGATAGTTTCATCAGCGATGCAGGTGGCTGTGACACTCTCGCTAGAGTTATCACACTGGTGGAGAAAATGGTGCAGAATGAGGTACAACCAGGGTTTGGTTTGTTATCGGTTTAAATACTGTGCTGGTTTGATGATTTTCTACTTACAGTTTTTGTTTTGCTGACATATTAACCAGCTATCGGCTACTTTTCAGATCCGCAGTGGCTTGGCGCTGGTTTGTGATGTCACCATGGCGATTACATGTGTTGTCCAACATGTTACACCTGATCTCAACAACCGGTAAAAGCTTCGTCTAGCCCTAACTGATTGTAATGTATGCTTTTTTATAGGCTAGGCTAAAAAACATAAGGGTTATTTGTTCTGTAATGTTCTTTTAAAGTAATAGATATCTATGATAAATTTAATCTATCTAATTTTTATCCACTGTCAGATGGCAGTAATATTATTTTGTCTGTGTGTTTCTTCATGTGTCTGCCACAGTAGCAACACATCTCATTAGCAAGTGGATAGTTAATAAAAATATCAAAAAGTAATTATCTGTACACAGAACTGATCAAGCTGCCAGGGACTGCAGCTTGTCTGACAAAGTCACGAAACCTCATGTTTACTTATTGTGCATTGATTGTCCCTCTTTTTCAATAAATCAAGTCAACTCAACACAAGTGGTAGCAAATTTAAAGTTGGCTTTAACACTTGCCAATTATTTTAGAGATTGAGATAAAATTAGCTGTGGTAGTAGTTGAGACTACTCTGTAAAACATCTAAGATTCAGTAAATGAGCAAACTACATTTTTATTGTAATCATCTAAAGGTAATTGTGTCAATTTTTCTATTTGTTTATGACAAGATCCTCAAACCTGCACTGCAGAATGAGAGGGTTGAAATAGTTAAAAAAAATTATTTCAACACTAAAAACAGCACTTCTACTAATGTGTTCAAAATATATGTTATACCTCCACTGAGGTGTTTTTAAGATGACTTGATTAAGGGGAAGATAATCTTTGCAACTTGTCTTACCTACCAAAGGTTAAAATAATGTGCACTAGTCAGTGCATGTGACATGCTAGTGTCTTCCAGGTTTAACACTTAAGACCACAATTTTTAATAGTATTTTGAATGAGAAAATGCATATTTAAACTTAAAAAATACATAATACCACTGAGAGAAAGTCTCCTTGAAAGGCTAAGTCAAATTGATCAAATGTGGGATACAGTAGTCTCTCGTTAATCGCGGGGATCCATACCCTGAAGCCCCACGATAAGTGAAAAACAGCGAAGTAGGAATAGTAGTA